AGAACTAATTCAAGATAAAAATTAAAAATTGCTACAATGAATTAGACCACAGGTCCATCTAAATTTGGGACGGGAATCATGTAGCCCTCTGGATGTTTCTGAAAAGCAAGTCCATCAACCCAAGCCAGGACAGCCAATGGTCAGGAATGCTGAGAGTTGCAGTCCAACGTCTGGAGGTCTACGCACAATCCCATCCCTGATCCCAGTGAAGTGGTCTCTTGATACTGGCTACCCAAATATGCTTAGGAAGCTTAGAGACAATGAATAATGGAAATATCCATTCTTTGTTCACTCCCAGCTATATGGCAAGGTGTCAAATACACTGCTCCTGGAAAATGGAGGTGTCATGCTTAACTATCCTAAATTTCTGTGGGGCTAGACCGGGGTAGGCAGCTCCCAGAAGCCTCAGCCATGTTGGCCAATAGTCCCATGTTGGCCAATACCTCCTGGGATTCTGGGAGCTGAAGTCCCTCGGCCCTTAAAGGGGAAAGGTTGCCTACCCCTGGGCTAGACACAAGAAGAATCTCCAAGCCTTCTCCATGACAGCATTTAGCCCAAAGTTGTACCTCAACCAGAGCACACAAAGTTATAGTCACACACACAATTATGAATAAGAAATTCCACCCAAAGCCCTTCCTGATGGCACTTACTTCAAACCTTAGTTTATAAGGGAAACCTTCCAGCAGATGAAGGCAAGAACACATTGTCCAAGGAAGAGGGTGTCCAAGACAAACAGGTGAACCTCCTCGATAAGCATTTGCAGGCCTAACTCTCTGTGCCAGTCACATGAACCTTATGCTTGGCCAGTAGAGGCTAAAGGAACTTTAAATAAAACCAACTTTGTAGCACAGTCCAGATGTAGGCAAAGCAAAAGCAACAGTGTGGGCTGAAGTGGTAAGAAGTCCTTACTCTGCTTTGAATTTAATCCCTACAGCAGCCATTTTGTGAAGGGCTGCACAGAAGCAAGGAAGCCTGAATGGCTCCACTTCAGCTTGAAGCCAAGGCTCAACTTGTAATGTATTGTTATCATACTGGCCATGATCCTGTCCAATGGCAAAGATTATGAACTCCACTGGTCTGCTTATACAAATGATGCCAGCGTAATGCCCAACAGAATTGCGGCCATTGTTTTCAGCATGGAAATATGCAAGATTTGATATTAAACAGAACTGTCAGACAGCTTACTGATTACAAAGCCCTGACCCTCCAATGTAATTGCTTTCATAACAATATCAGTGATCAGGTCCAACCAAAAAGAAGCATTAGCACACTTGCCCATAGACACTGTCCTCAGAACACTTTTAAGAGGAAACATTTTACAGCCTCCACGTTGAGATGTTTGTGGATGACATGTTAGCAATCTTTGCATACACTCAGAGCAATAAAACTGAAAGAAACATGCAACGAGAATTATCTCTGAGTGCAGCTGGAATATTCCAATTGCTACACATTCATCTTAGCCACACTCACAATAATTTTTAGATCTTTGGTTATGAGACAGGCTAAGAAATGCAACAAAGAATAAAACAATTTTTACAGCAAGTAATTCATATTTACATCTTCCAGATGGGCAAAGAAGCCAGATGCCATCTACTTGTGCAAGAAGAACCACAGTAGCTACAGTTTGCCTCCCCCGACACCCATCAGCCCCAGATTTCTTCCATATCCTACAACATACTTCCCAAACCTGGTACTCTCAAGTGTTTTGGATTACATGACCATCATCCCTGACCAAATGCTAAGTAGAGATAATGAGAGTTTAAGTCCAAAGACACTAGGTTGGGAAAAGTTGTACTACACTATGAAGTTTACTGTTTGCAAGACAGAAAATAAGTCTACAAACAAGGAACGACATAATTATAATGTCATCACTGGAGATTACAGGGTTACACCATGTCAGACAGCACACACAGGGAATGTGCATTTAGAATGAAATCCTATTAGTGGCTTATGCATGTGTGTATTTTGGGGGGTACCAGGAGCTATTCTCTGCCACCCCACAGCTGCTGTCAAGCCTCAGGAAGGACTGCTACTGCTTAAATATGAATTAAAAACTTTCTTGATTTCTAAAGCATTTGGAACTTTAGCTTAATGTTGTTTTATAATCAATGCATACTTGATTACATGTATTGGTTAGTTTTTTATATTATATTGTATTTTTGTATTTTACCTAAATAGTTTGTTTTATAACTGTATTGTATTGTTTTGTTTTATTATTGTATACACTCAACTGTAAGTCAACCTCATGTATAGGTTGAGAACAGGTTTGGGGGCCAAAATTATGGATTTTGATATGACTTGTGGACAAGTCAAGGGCAAAACATATAGGCATGAAACAGGATCTAAAAAATGAAGCAAAAGAAAACAATGCCAAAGAACTTACAAAATTCCAGCAGGCATAACTGTTTGTGCTCACACTAAAGACTGGATGGATGAGAGAGTACAGTGGGGTCAGTGCTTCTAGGACAGATTACACTCTTGCCTTTCACCAAGGGATGGTTCCCTTTTTATATAAGAGTTAAAGGGCAGTACTTACAATGACCCATGGATAAGTTGAATAAGGTTTTTTTGGCTCAATTATTAGACTAAAAATTCTAAATTTATGCATGAGTATATAGAGTATTCCTTCCTTCTCCCTGCATGTAGGTGTATGCACACATTTTAGATTGTATGCCTCTGGCAGGACTCACTTTTTTTAGTTGTTGTACCTGAAAACACCATGTAAATTGATAGTGCTATATAAATACAAAATAATAAATAATAATAATGCCAGTGCAGGAGGGAGGAAGAGGGGAGACAAATCAGATTACGGTAAAGATGAGGCGGGTCTGGGCTCCAAGGGAAAAGAAATGGAGGAGATGTTCTCCATCTGTAAGTGCATTCTTGTTTCTTCCTCACTGAGCTGAGACCAGCTGGTTCTTCATTGTCTGAACTGTCTTCCCTCCTCACCCATTCCCCACCAGTAAGAAACAGTGGGGATCCTTCTGGGGATTAACATCTTCCCAGGCAGGGGTGGACACAGAACTGTACATGCTTTGCCCGCTCGATGTAGGATCATAACCAATTTTTTAAAATGCTCAAACAAACATCTTCCTCCATGCAGAATTTCACCTCTCTTCCTGATGTACTTATTTTCTGCATGCAAAGAGAAAGAGGTTGTGTTTTTCTTTTAATGTGCTGTAGAATTCAAAAACTATTACCTCTCATCTCGGGCACAAACACCCTTGCAGCTCATTTCTCCCTCCCTCATTCTGTGTAAGTAAACTCTCAGACCTGATGCAAATGAAACATGCAACCCTCACTATTTCAACCCTGTATTTTATTATTGTGAGGCTTTTTTTTTTTTTTTTACGTGAGACAGCTGGCTGAACCAGTCATCTTCTCTTTGCTTTTCCTAGAAGGGAGCTAGTTTTCCATGTGGCTACCCTGACAAATCACAAAAGCTGGGCTTCCATCCAGTGCAAAATGTTCAAAACAAAACCCTTCAAAACAGAAGTCCAGGAGTTCCATCAGACTCCTAAGAACCAGAGGTTTCTTGTTCTCCATATTCTTGACTGGAGCTTTTTGGAGCACGGCAGCTTGCACTTAGGCCTCAAAGACAGAAAGGGAGCATGTGAGGCCTCAAAAAGGCAGGACTCAGCTCCCTCTCACCCTGCTGTCATGAATCCCAACATCCTTCCTATTTCTCCCACTCTTAATACCTGGCACGGTGCTCTCTCAAGCAAAAGTACAACCACCTAAGCCAAATGCAATGCATGCCCAACAATGTCTCCTTTTAAGTTGAACAAGCTGCTAAATTTATTCTTCATGTGGGGAAATTTGCAGGCATTTGGACCTTCAGCTTTCAGGACTTTGATTTCTGATTTTATTTTTTTAATTGAGCCAGTTCACCCACTTACTGCTGGAAAGGAAAGAATAATAATAATAAATTAGAACACCATGCTTTCTTACAGATGCAACAAGGGAATTGCTTAATAGTGGGATTTGAAGATCAGTAGAATTAATAAATAGTAGGAATTCAAGAGATTGATGATAGAGGAAGTTAGGTATTCTTTTATTTATAACCACTATTTGAAATGTTTGAAGTTACTATTACCATTTTCCCCTGTTTATTTTTTTATTTTTGTAACAGTAATAGCCTTGTAGTTTTGTATGTTACTTTGCATGGTTTTTTTTATTATGTATTCCCTTATGTGTAGTTTTATAGTTTAAAAATGTCTTTTAAGAAATTATATATACAGGTTGAGTCTCACTTATCCAAAGTGTTTGGGACCAAAAGTGTTTTGGATTTTGTGGTGGGGTTTTGGAGTTTGGAATACTTATATTTGTATATGCAGTATTTTCTGACGTATAAGACTACTTTTTAACCCAGGAAAATCTTCT